CTATGAATGGCGATTCAAGACGTGTGCATACAACAAAGGGAACGCTGCGAATGTCTAGACTCGTAGAGGGGCACCGTCATCAGAAGAAAACGCCGGATTGCTGTCTCCTCTAATCGCGCGGCTGGTATCGACGCAAGCAGCAGCAAAGGTACGGCCACAGAACAGCAATGAATGACTCAGCAGCCATTGCCACGTGGGCAACTAAAGGGCTTCGTCCAACCAGCTGCGATCTGCACTCCGGCGTATTAGCAAGTGCTTCTAGATATGGCTCCGAGTGCTTATGCTAAAAGTGGAAAACGCATGCTAGCGCTGGGCTGTAGTAGTGGAGAACGCGAGCGTCTTTGTCAGCTGTAGAACTGTTGAACAGAGAAGAAGAGCATGTGAATTACGTGTGAACGTTGTGGGTAAAGATGGCGAACTGAATCGTGGCTCGACTTCCTTCTGTTAATCAAGGAATCTATAGAAATCGCGATCACTGATCAATGTCTGGAACCACGAACAACTAGGTCTATCGCACATAAATGGCCGTCTGGCTGAAAAGGACGACTTATGGAAGTGTTGACCATTCGACTTGCTACGCGAGCCGGACAAATTTCCATACAGTTTCGTCGAGATCGTGGCTATCAAGTGCGTGTCACGATGCTGAGCAAACCGACAACGTCGGCAGCCAGTGACGTCGGCTGCGACACTTGCGGAAGCACAAGCGTGGGTTCGTAAGGCGGGTGGGCTGTGACGGCGGGTGTGTGGTGAAAAAGTAGAGTGCTCCGAGCTGAGCCAAAGCAGCCCTTACCTTTCGGAGCTGTGTTTCCCCGAGGAATTTCGAGGGGGCTTGAGAGAGATGGGAAGAGGGGGAGGGGAAGTGGGATTTCTTGGGTGGGTGGGTTCTTCTGGGCGGAGAAATGTTGCAGATTGGGTGCCGACATCTCGAAGCGCGTTTGAGCGAGCCGATGCGCGGAGGATTTTGATGAGGTTGGTTTGAGGGCCGGACGTGCCATGTTAGCTCGATGGGAGAGTCCGGACAGCCGTCGATCTGAACACGGATGTTTGACGTGTGAATGGAATGGAGCCATTTATTTCGCGGGCAAAGGAATTTCACATTTCAATATTGAAAGTGCTGATAGCACTCTTGCTGTACAAATACGAAAACGGTTGCCATCTCAATACGTATGGTCGTATAGTATGGATGCAATAAGTAATCTTGTTCATCATGCGAGGAGATCCCCGGATAATCAGTACTGTATTATCGTTAATTGGTGGCAATTCTCAATAGTTATGTAGTAGGTTAGAAATTTATCATGCTTACTTCACTAAATCAACAAGTGCCAGCACTTCTGGCCTCACACAAGTACTGCATCTTACCTAATAAGTGCATTCAAATAGCTTTGTAACGACTCAACTGTACATTCAGCTTGACAGCAACTCAGTGATACACTCTGAGGAGGCCTCTGTAGGACGTTGTCCCTCCCCCTCTCTCACTGACAGTCTGCACCATGCTGTCAACAAATGGTCGCAAGCTCAACAGGGTACACCTCAAATCACTTTCATTCCTGCCCTCTCCATTGCTGAAAGTAGGCATTCCCCCTGGCACTGAAAGCGTCCCTTGCTGCTCCTCAGATCGCCTTTTCTTCCCAAAAGTTTGCAAAAACTGCCATATTCTAAGAGGATGCCTCAGCGCCCATGGCCGGAGCACAGAGCAAGGCAATCCGCCGAATTGGTCAGCAGGCAGGGAGAGGAGTGTGGAGACAAGGGGGGCGGACGGGGTTGCATGCAGCAGCAGGCATCCCCAGGCCTGCGAGTGCCTCACCACTTGGCCCTTCCCATGTGATGTGTTTGGCTGGAGAGGAAGCAGACTTGCTGCCTGGAGTGCTGCGGTGATGAGCATGACCTTCAGCAGACAGATGGCTCCTGGCAGGCAGCAGCAGCAGCAGTGGCGGCGGCAGCAGCAGCACTAGCCCGTAGCAGAAGCAATGGAAGAGACCACCTCACTCTCTTCTCCTGCAAGCCCTTTTTTGGTGTGAATCCAACCAGCAGCCTCAGCAGCTGCCAACTGCCATAACCACTGCTGCTCCTGCCCGTCCCAGGACCAGCTGTCTCCAATTAACGGCATCCACAGATCCTCCTGCTGTCGCTGCTGCTCTCGCTGCTCTCGCTGCTCTTGCCGCAGCTTCTGCAGCTTCTGTTCCAGCTCTTTATCTATCTCATCCTCTTCCTCCAGCTGCTCCTCTTCCTCCCGCTTCTGCTCTTCCTCCCGCTTTTGCTCTCCCTCTCGCTTCTTCTCTTCCTCCTGCTTCTGCTCTGCCTCTCGCTTTTGCGCTTCCTCCCGCTTCTGCTCTTCCTCTCGCTTCTGCTTCTGGCTTGCTTCCCTCGCCTCCTTATCCTCCTTTTCCTGTATAGATGACCACCTTTTCCTGAACAATGAAATCTCCCCCAAGAGAATCGCAGATTGCAGAGCAGCAATGGCGGGCGGATCAGCAGCAGATAGCAGCAGGTGCAGCAGGGGAGGGTGGCCGGATGTGGCATGGGGCAGCAGGCGCAAGGCCTGGTAAGAGACACGTTGGAAGAGGAGATTTGAGCCGTCCAATAGGATCCACCGCTGCAAGTCCATGTGGACTGCTGATGCCAGCAGATGCTGATGGTTGGGATGAGTGATGTGGGGATGATGATGATGATGACGGTGGTGGTGGTGATGGTGGTGGTGGTGGTGAAGGGAGAGGGGGTGAGGTGCAGCAAGGGTATGCAACACGCCGTTGCACCTTGGTGGCACTTTGTCCTCCCGCTTCTCCTCTTCCTCTCGCTTCTGCTCTTCCTCTGCTTTTTCCTCCGATGCTGCTCCTCTTCCTTCTGCTGCTCCTGGTCCTCCTGAGATGCCTGCTGCACCTGCTGACGAAGCCTGCTTGCCTGCACCAACGCCTCCTTTCTTTCCCTTGCCCACTAATCCACCCTTACGCCCATCCCCCCCATCTCCACCTCCATCTTTCTCCGTACCGCTTCCCTCACCTCTTCCCTCATCTCTCCCTTCATCCCTCCCCTCATCTCTCCCCTCATCCTTCGCATCCTCTTCCTCATTGCTCCCTTCCTCACCTCGCTCCCAGCACAGCATAACCAGGCGCTCATAGAAACCAAAAACCACTTCTGCTGGCACCCCCCTACACCCCCCTCTTTGTTCCCCACCCTCGTCACTCTCCTCTCTGCCCTCCCCTCCAGTCGAGGACCCAGCCCCCTGAGTATCCCTTTTCGAACGGGCATCAACTGAAGACGCAGGCTTAGTAGCAACTTCTGTACCACTAGCTGCCCTGGCTGCTGCTGCAAGTGCATCGGCCGCACTCAGTTGCTCTTTCTCCGCTGCTGCTGCACCCACACACAGCAACCAGGCAGTAACTGGCTGGCCCATGTCATGCCACGATATAAGCAGCTCCTCTACTGGCAGCAAGAAGTTCAAGTCATACCCACCGCATTCACCCTTGTCCTTGTCAGTCGCCTCACCGTCCTGCTCGCCCTCCCCATCTTCTTTTCCTTTTCCACTCCGCTGGCCCTCCTCCCCTCCTGTAGCGTCCATCGCATTCGCCTCTTCTCTCTGCTCCCCCTGGTTCTCCTCCCCATCCTCCCCACCACCACCCGCCCTCCGCTCTCTCCACCACCACTCATTCTGCAAAACATACTCATGCAGAACCATCAACGTTGACGTCCAGTTTGATAACGCGGCGCCTTCTAACGGGTATGGCGTTCCAAGCTTCGCCTTCACACCAGCTGCACCAGCAGATACACCGTTCCCAGATGCACCGTCCTCAGACGCACCACTCCCAGAAGCATCCTTCCCAGTAGCAGCCTCATTCCCAAAAGCATCGTTCCCAGTGACACCGTCCCTAGAAGAACCTTCCAAAGTTCCCACGGTGGCAGGAAGGCAGGGTAGCGGCAGCTGCAGCTCGTTCAACCGACTAGGAGACAGGGAGGCTAAGGACGGGAACAGAGGGGAGCCTACTTTGGCGAGACATTCGGAAACCGTAGTGGAAATCAGCGCCCATTCCTTCCTACCTAATCTACGCTCCCTAAATCGAGGAAACCTAAAAGTGTCTGATTTGACTGCGCGTTCAGCTTCAAAAGCCTTTGGGTCTCTAGCTAAAAACATGGCTGATAGCCTAGCTACCTTTGTAGCTGCGTCTTCTCTGCTATTCAATCCCTCTGGTGATGCTCAGGAAGGGATTCTGCACCTGATCCTGCTGCTAAGTCTGTCGATACGCCTGCTGCTGCTTTATCTACCGAAGCTGCTACGCGAGCTCTCTTCGACCTAACTCCCTTAACTCCCCGTCGGTTGCTGCTGCTGCTGTCGTTCCTGGCTGCCTCACCTGCCCCGTCGGCTGCTGCTTCTGCTGCTGTCGCCGTTGCTTCCTCCCCTTTCCTGCCATCCTCGCAAGCATCGCTCGCCGTCTCCCCCTCTGTAGTGCCTCTTTCTGTAGTCACATCCGAGTCGACGCTCCTGTCAGATCGTTCCTCATCCAACCGCGCGTCTTCCTCATCCCGTTGTTCCTCATTCACCACAGGTCGCCGCTCCCTCGCCCTCCCTGCAGTTCCCCCGTTCCCCCTTTGCCCTCTTTTTCCATCTCCTGCCCGCCCTCCAGTTCCCCGTACTCATTCCCTTGCGCCTTCCCCTCAGCTTGCCCCTGCGGCTTCCGCCCGCCAGCTTCACTGACTGGATACTCGCCTCTTAAAGCCACCAGGAACGCCTTGAATCCGCCAATGACCTTCGCCCCGTCCCCTGCCTCCGCAGCTTCTTCCATACCCTTTACCATTCTCTCTATAGCCCTCATCTCCTCGTCCATGCCCTCTCTCTCCTCGCTATGCTCTCTTTTCCCTTCCTCCTCCACCACCTCCCCTCCCTCCACCTCCCCAGCCTCCACATCCCCTCCCTCCTCCGCTTCCTCCTCCCCTTCCTCCTTCTCCTCCCTCTTCCTCTTCCGCTCCCTTTTACCACTCCCTCCCTCCGCCGCCTCGCTCTCCCCTCCGGCGCGCTCCCCTAGTTCCATCTCTGCGCCCTCCGGAGACTTGCTACGTTTCCCCGCTCCGCCAGGGCCTTTTCCACCAGCCTGGTCTTCCCCTGCAGCGCTAGCCTCCCCCATTTCCGCATCTTCCGCCGCCCTCGCGCCAGTGATGGACCCACTTGCGTCAACCGCGCCCTTCCCGGCAACGGCTGCAGCAGCAGAACCACCCACAGGATGGCTTCCGCTAACGCCTGCGCCCACTTCCCCCACTTCCCCCAACTCCGCCACCTGCCCTTCCTTGCCTCGCTGTTCCTCCGCCGCCCTTATCCCCGCTCCGCTGCCAACAATATTCCCCATGCCGTCCCTCTCCGCTGCCAAATGCGGGGGGGAAGGGCTTGGGGACTTCACCAAAGCCCCGCTCCCCCGCGCTTGGCCCCCTCTCCCCACTGCCCCTCCCCCTCCCCCAGGTATTCCCGCCGCCGCAGCTCTTTCCGCATGGTGCGGGTCATGCAGGGGTGAGGGGGGTAAGTACCGATGGGGAGACGCGTCGAGCCGACAATGCGCAGGAAAAAGCGCCTGAAGCCGCTCACGAAGCTTTGTCGGAATGAAGCCGCTTGTGGCTAGCGGCTCGAGACTAGGCACGACTCCCTTGCCGACCAAAATGTCGATCGAGGCGGAAATTCCGCGGAGAATCACGTCTCTATGCGCCGCGTCGTAGTTATCTAGGAGAAGGAAGAGGAATTCCAGGAGGGAGTTGGTCATAATGGCGTATTTGGGAAGGGAATGGACCATGCACAGCATCGCGGGTTCGATGTTCATGATGTTGTCTGTCTTGGGCATGAAGAAGAGCCAATCGTAGAAGAGCGCCAGCTTGGCATTTGCCTCCATGTGGCAGCTTCTGCAGCATTTGAGCAGCCAACCGACAATCGCCCAGCGTGGCACCACGTCGGATTGCAGCACCTGATTGGTCGGATGCACCGAGCAGCAGACGAAACGAATCAAATCCGCCACGAGGGACTCGCTCTCCGGGGCGGCGAGAAACCGGGTGGCAAACCACGTCTGGTAGCGCCGCTGGTGGCCCATGCGCACGTGTGCGAGGAGAAAGCGAAGCTGCGACTCCATTTCGGGCGTAACTCGCGACGTGATGAAACGCGTCGGCGTCCGCACGACGTACAGCTGAGCTAAATCGGAAACCCCGGCGCGCCCATAGTCTCCGGTCTATGCACCAAGTCCCTCCAAATCGGCTCGAATTCCGGAATCAACGCTACATCCTGCAGCAGACGCACTAAGTCGCGACCAATTACCAGGCAGTCCTGAAACCGCTCCCTAATCAGCTGCGTGCAAAACGCGACCTCCTGCTGCTTCAGCTCTACTACGGTTGGCGCCTTACTAACCGCATGGTCTGGTAGAAGCCTAAGGAACGTGTATAACGAGAGGGCGAGAAGATTCGGGAGAGTGTAAAGCCACTGCGCGTTGGTACGGAGGACGTCGAGTAATTGCCGAGCTAACCACACATTTCCCACGCTGAGATCGCCGCCGGAGACCTGACGGAAGAGGCAGAGAAAGAGCGTTTCTGCTTCCTGAACGGCTAGCTGAACCAACTGCCGGAGGATCCAAATGACCTGCGCGCGCACGTGGTCCTGGAGCTTGCTCCACTTGTCGCTCGCTAATCGCTGAAGCGTCGCTAGAAGCGACGCGTGATGATCGCGCGTCACGGAGCACAGGATTCCGAACAGTCGCACCGCCGCTGCCGGAGCCGCGTGCGACGTCGGCGAGGGCGGCGGACCGGCTTTGTGCGACGCGATGAGGATGGCGTAGAGGAGACCGTTGACCACGTCGGCATGTTGTTGCGCGCCTTCCGATACCATTTCCTGCAACTGGCTGTGCACGTCGCCTTCGCTGTCCGACGCGAGAAGCGGCTTGAGACGCGCGTGGAGAGATTGAAGGGCCAGGTCCAGCTCATCTGTCGCCTCGAAGGCCACGTGGCTCAGCAGCCGCGAATCAGCGCGTGGCACGTGGACATGAACGTGCGCATGGGAATCTCCGCGCGATCCGCCGACCGAGCCGCGGGGCTCAATGGCGACTGGTGCTCCGATCGGCATAGCGGCAGGGGCTATATTCCAAGAATTAGGGTTTGGATGTCAAATCAGTAAGTCAGTTGAGCGGTCCGTTCATCCTAGCTGCCATCCAAGTTTCAAATATTCGCGCGTGAGTGCTCTTGGTCGATGCGCAAACCCTAATCTGGGTCCGAAGCGCGGTAATTGGTTTTGGTCAAGCAAGGGGGCTTGAACATTGCTGGAAATTGCTCCAGCAGCTAAGTATGGAAGAAGAGGGCCTGGATTGGCAGGAATTGGGTGAGGGAAGAGCCCCTGAGGAGAGGAGTGCTGCTGGGGCCAAGCCATCCGGAAAGAAGCTGATTCTGAAACGAAGAATGTGTTGAATGAAAATGAGGGAAAACCGCCTGGTATTTATAGCTGGGCTGGCTGAGCTGAGGGGCTTGAGACGCGGTTCCAGCCAAGCCTGCGTTACACGCACGGGATTCCCAGGCCAACTGGTAGATAGCTTCGGTGAAAGGTAGTTTTTAAATGGGAAATGAGGAAGCTCGGAACGGTTCCCTCAGTGCATCTTGCAGAGGAAATTCTTGAGTTATGCGACTGACTCTTCATGATTTTTGGCAGGATGTCAGACGTCGAAATGCACTCTTCCGGCCAGATTCGTCAGCAAATTTGCTTGCGAAATGCACGGATGGATGGCATGCCAGGTCGGCTCGCGGGTCACAAGCTGGCCTTCATCCATTCAGCTTCATTCCCGCCGCCAGGGTCCAAGTCCATCCAATCTGTTTTCGCCAAGGGCGATCGCGCTTCTGGTGTGGTCAATCTTGGGATTTGTGCTTGGCCGAGTTTTTTACGTAATGTGAGAGATCGAAAGCGAACAGTGAAGGTATCCTTCTTCTTAACGAAGCATCGCATAGCAGCAACATTCAGCGGTTTTGACGAAAGGAATCATGACAAGGCATCTGCCTCCCCTTCGTTAGTTTTCAGTGTGACCTGCGCGCGAAACTACCCTCACAAATGACGAGCTTGTCTCGTTCACTTCCAACAACATTCCAGTCCATTGTCCCCACCTGGATCCTATCAATCTTGAAAACCCAGAATTACGGCAGGGAAAAAGGGATAACATGAATCTTAATACACTACGAAACGCGGAGATGCCCCCCTATGCTGGGAAACGCCCTGGGCGCGGAGTTTCCCCTTCCCCCGATTGGAGAAGCGACGGAGATCCCCAGGACCTGTTTGCAACTGCAAGAAGTTCCTGACCAACCAACCTCAGCAACCCAGCCTGTCACAGCAAGCAACACGACCCCATCAGACCGTTCTGGGTATCGTTAACTCTTTCTGTGAACGTATGTAACCTATAACAACCGAAGCAAAATGAAACTTACACACACCCGTGTAGGATTCCCAGATTCCAACTTGCAGGCATCCCAGTTTTGTGTAGAGGTGAAAGGATTTCAAGTGAACTATTTATGGCTGTTTCAAAGTCATTCAAGTCCCCACATTTCCTCTTTACTCCGCAAATTTCGGAACTCGGAGAGCTACTAAGTACGAGAAAGTAGGTCTCTCTTCAGCGAAAGTGAACTAATGGGTTTGGAATAAGAACGAGGATAGGTTATGTCGAGCTACGAGACACCCTCTTTCACGTAGGCGCACTGCGAATGAGCAGTTTCCGAAATATATTTGCAGCCTGCGACAAACATTATCATGGCTACATGTCTCGTAGAAGCTAGGTTCTTGCTTCCGCTTTAATTTATGTCAGGCAATGCCTAGTCATACGGGTAGTATCTCAGTTTTCTCAACTAGTCCGAGTATTGCAGAAGGCATCAGTAGACAGGCCAACCATTTGTCCAGAATCTATTTTAGGTCCGTCCGATTTCAAGGGACTTGACGTATACTTGACTACGCTCGCAAGCAGCTAACAGAGAGTCAAAACCGGTGCTTCGCTTGACGGCGCTTCGTTCTTCGGTGCTTCGTTCGACGGTCCTTCATTGGTCTGCTTCCAGAGGCCAGCCTCGATTCACCGACGACCATCATGTCACTCGACGGTGATGTAAGCGCATTACTTCCCAAGAAAATGTTCGATGGCATCGGTGTCGTCAGTGAGACGAGTCTATTCCACACGTAGTACCAGGTGAAATTTGAGTCGACTCAAAAATCGCCTGCTTTCAGATGACGTTCTTGGTTCAACTAGAGTTGAGCGACGCAAAAAAATGCCGTTCTTGGTTCAACGACGACCATCATGTCGTCGCTCGACGTTGATGTAAGCGCGGAATCGTCGATAAAATGTATCATTGCGTGATTCCTGGGATGGTGCTTTTTGCGCCTGGAGGGCGGCCCTGTTCAACGAAGACCATCATGTCGTCGCGCGACGTTGATGTACGCCCAATGTCTTCAATAGGAGTTCTCTTCAGGCAACGCCGCTCCTTCTGGAGCGGGCGTTGCCATGAGTGACGGCGACATTGATGTGCGCCCAATATCTCCAATGAAATGGTCATATATCAGTCTTCATTGCATTCATGCTACGTACAACCTTTTAGGCACATGTTGTGTGCTTTCCCGTCCTTAAATGCGCGTTCATTCGTCAATATCAGAAACACTCAGATTTCAGTGCGCGCTCAATAGGTGATATCGCATCTCACATGACGTCGAGGTGACGTTCCGTGTCCCGTCACTCCCTCCGTGTCCTCGTGTAGCTTGTTATGCTCGCGTTCGAGCATAACCTCAGCTCTGCTCAACTAGACACAGCTCAGTTCCGCTCAGCGCAACTGGCGCCACGTAGCTCACCTCAGCGCACCAGTGCAGCGCATCTCCGCACAGCTCCTCTCAGCGCAGCGCAGCTGAGCTCGGCGCAGCTCCGCTCAACGCAAGTGGCGCAACTTGGCTCACCTGAGTGCAGCGCAGGGCAGCGTATCCCAGCTCAGCCAACTCAGCGCAGCGCATTCGGCTCAGCCAACTCAGCTCGCCACCGCGCACTCCTGCGCTGCGCCTCTGAGCCTCAAACAAGCAGATGTTGCATTTTCCAGCGGTACCAGGAAGATTATCTGATTCTCTTTTATGTGCTTCTGTCTCAGCCCAAGTACGGAAGAGGAGCAGGGTCAGCGGCAGCAGGGGAGAGCTTTGAGCTGACATTGAACAGGCCCTGAGGTTCCTCACCTGCTTCTCTTCTTTCTTTTTCTCTTTCTTCTGCTTCTCTCTTCAGCCCAAGTACGGAGGAGGAGCAAGCTCAGCGTTAGCAGGGGAGCCGTCCGAATGGAAGGAAAAACACACGGATTACTACGCCAGCGAACCTCCAGCGGACAAGTACCCAGATATCTACTCCAACGAGCCTCCTGCCGACGACCAAGGTACCGCCACTGCTCTGCCCCCACCCCCCGATTGAGGTGAGGCGAGTAGTTGACCTCGCGTTTGTGAGCCTCCAGCAGTCAAGTACCCGGATATCTACGCCAACGAGCCTCCTGCCGACGCCCAAGGTACCACCGCTGCTCTTCTGTCCCTCTTCCTAGTTCACTCAACAGAGGTCCCTTGGAAAGAGGAAGTTCACGCGGATTACTATATTCCAGCAAGCCTCCAGCGGACAGTTACCCGGGTATATACTCAAATGAGTCTCCTGCAAACGATCAAGGTACCACCACTGCTCGGTTTCCCCCCTCCTGCCATCATCCACTTCCTATTCGAGCTGACTCAAAATAGGTGACTTTTGGGTTGATTCAATAGTCATTTGAGGCACCTCAGAAAGAGCCCTCTGCTGAGTAACCACTACCGTTATGCCCCTCCTCCTGCCATCATCCAATTCTTCTCCCGTCTTCTTGTTCTCCTCTCCTCAACACCCATCCACTTCCTTCTCCTGTCATGTTTTCCGAGTCACAGTGTGCCCATGCTATTTATGCTTTACAGGTTAATTTTCTCAGTCTTGTCTTGCGTGCTCCAATCTGTCTTGTTGTCGTTTTCTTGCAGGGGATCTGGGTGCGAGTGCCATCTCGCTAGAGGGCACGGTGCAAGTGGTGAAGGAGAACATGTGGTACATAGGCGATGGTGAGACACCCTCATCCTCTTCAATCTCTTTGCACTCTCAGTCAATCCTTGTGTGGTGAAAGAGAACGTGGTGCATAGGGGATGGTGAGCACTTCTCTTCATTATCTGGGTGCGAGTGCCATCTCACTAGAGGGCATGGTGCAAGTGGTGAAGGAGAAGATGTGGTACATAGGCGATGGTGAGAACATGGGATACTTTTCCCCTTGCAAACCGCCCCTCCCCCCTTCACATCCTCTCCGCTCCAACCTCCACCCTGTACATACGCCCCCTTCCTCCCATCCTCCCTCCTCCCTTCACGTCCTCTCCACTCCTCCCCTTGCATCGTCTCCACTTGCGAGCTTGTGGGAGTTCTGAAGAGCCCCGCTCCCTTTTTCCACTCCTCCATCCCTTTTCCCTCTCTCGCCTTTTGGACTCCCTTTCCCATTCCCATGCCTTTTTTTTTGTCGACTCAAAAACCTTTTCTTTCTTTCCAAAACCTTCCCATCTTTCACCTTCCCGGAACCCCGTTCCCATGCCCATGCCATGCAGCTACTTTTTTAGTCAACTAGAAGAATTTCCCCGCTTTCAACTCCTTTTCTTGGCGTCCTTTCCCGTTTCCCATCCCATGCAGCTGCGTTGAAAAGCGTTGCAGAGGTACTTTACGGGTTCGGAATCAGCCCGACAATACTCGGATACACGTAAGCACCAACCCTCCTCTCCAGGCTTCTGAGTTGAGACATAACCACTGTGTTGGAAAGCGTTGCAGAGGTACTTTACAGGTTCGGAATCAGCCCGACAACACTCGGATACACGTAAGCACGCACCTGTCTCTCCATACTTCTGAGTCGGTCCAAAAGGCACTGTTTTGAGACGTCTCAAAACGTGAAAAAAAAAAAGAGTTTTGAGACGTCTCAATACACGTAAGCACGCACCTGTCTCTCCATACTTCTGAGTCGGTCCAAAAGGCACTGTTTTGAGACGTCTCAAAACGTGAAAATAGAAGAGTTTTGAGACGTCTCAATACACGTAAGCACGCACCTGTCTCTCCATACTTCTGAGTCGGTCCAAAAGGCACTGTGCTGACAAGCGTTAAAGAGGTGCTTTGCGGGTTCGAAATCAGCTCGACAAAGCACGCACCCTCTTTTTCGAGTTCCATGCCTTTTCAACTCGTCCCGTGCACCCCTGACGTCCCCTGACGTCCGGCACCCCCAACCCCTTTGCCTCCCCCTTGCCTAGTCCACCCGCACATTCAAGCACAGAAAGATTTCAAACGCTTCCCCTTTTCTCCCCTCTCCCCTCTCCCGTCTCCCGAATCTCCACCCTCTCTCCCTTCACACTCCACTCAACCCGTGCTGTTCACAACAGGGAGGAGGAGCTGTTGGAGGAGGAGGAGGAGGAGGAGTATGACATTGCACAGCCGGCAGTACAGCGGGACGAGGTGGTGGCCAAGACGTCGTTTTCAATGCGCAGTGAGGAGAACATGCAGCGCCGCAAGACAGAGGAGCCAGCTCCCCCGGCGGATGAGGCAGAGGAGGTCTACATGGACCAAGTGAACGGTGGGTGTGGGTGGGGTGCGGTGGGGAGGTGACCTGGGAGTAGCTGGGTTCTGAATTGTGGTGTGAGGGGGATGGTGCGATGCGCAGTGAGGAGAACATGCAGCGCCGTAACACAGAGGAGCCGGCTTCCCCGGCAGATGAGGCAGATGAGGTTTACACGGATCAAGGGAACGGTGAGGGATGAGGAGGGGGTGAGGCTGGGGTGTGGTTCTGGTGTGGTCCAGGTGCTGTTCGGGTGTGGTTCGGGTGTGGTTTGGATGTAGTTCAGGTGTCGTTCGGGTGTGGGTTTGAAGTGGTTGGGTTCTGGATGGTGGTGTGAGGGGGATGGTGCGATGCGCAGTGAGGAGAGCATGCAGCACAGCGTGACGGAGGAGCCGATTACGCCTGAGGATGAAGCAGAGGAGGTTTACGTGGATGAGCATGTCTGCATAACGGGTGTACGACTGCTAGTGCCTTGTATACTTATTTGCTGAGTTTTCCTTGTGCAGATGGCTGGGGAGGCGAGGAAGACTACATTGAGTTCGTGGAGGACAAAAAGGATAAGTAATAATTCATGGATATGCCCTTGTGAAATGTACTGTGGCAACTTATCAACCTTTCCCAGGGTGGGTGTAAAGTAGTGACGAAACTTATGAGTTTGGTTGCATTTGTTTTCTTGTATATGACACTACATGATTCTTTTACTGATCGTTATTTCATGGACGCATAACAACTATTCCGTTTTAAGCACCGACAGGGTGCTTCGTTGGCACCCTCGGCCTTCCGAGCCACCTATCAGTCAATGTTGGCAATCCAAAATCATCAAAACTAGGCGCCGCAAACCTCGGCCTTCACCTCGGACTCTAACCCTCACGCCCTCGATGCCTCTCGAATGCATCCGAGCCTGCATTTTTGTTGGCCTGGGAAAGCACCTCTCCCTTGGGAACTCCCCCGCTCAACTGGGGGATTTCCATTTTCAAGGGCCACCTCCATTTTCAAGGGCTGATTCAGCGGTTGCTTTTCAAATAGCTTGCTGAAACTGTGGCTGCTTTTCAGACACCAACTTTTCATTCTGCTTTACTACTAGTCCCTGCTGGCTGTTTACGTAGCCTCTGCCTCTGCCTCTCTGATGCTGCTGAGTGACATCGGATGGTGTTTCTTGTTGATTGAATGTGGCACGCATGCATTGCGCTTGAATCCGCCACCTTTCGCGCGAATCTCACGCTGAATTTGCCAATCGAGCCGGAAATCCCTCCTCTCAGTAGCACAAGTTCCATTTACTTCTCTCACTCGTCAGCATTGGCCATGCCAGGCACCGCAGCTCTACTCCCAGCAGCTTCGAACACCTCCAGAATCATCATTCCCTCTGCTGGGCCTCTCCCCACCCATCACCACCGCACAATCCGGATTCAGAAGTTCCGCCGTGGCTCTGAAAGTGCATGCTTTAGCCTAAGATGGTACGAAGTCGACAGAGCGGCTCGGCGAGAATTTCCTGGCTCCGCAGAACATAATGAACTGAGTTACCCCAGCGGAATATGCGCCGGACCTCACGGATCCGGAATTGGATCCAGACGAAAAGGTGCAGAGTGGCTGGGAGGGATTCGAGCTAAGGAGCCTTATGGATCGTCCGGAGATGCTTGTTTGGATCGGAGACGACTCAGAGTCAGTGCATTGCGGAGTCGAATGGAGTTACAAGGATTTGCCATCCAACAGCCAAGAGATTCTCACGAGTTTACAGGAGGTGCCATCCAACGGCCAGGAATAAGTCTGGAGCCAGTCGGAGGTGCGCGAGGGAGACGAGGTGCTGGGACTGTTCCTGCAGCGACGGCCAATGCTGACGTGGCGTCTGGAACAGGGAGGGAGAAGGCAGGACGCGATGCGATCCGACGTGGCATGCAGCTATTTATCGAGGTCGTGAAATGTGCTCTCTCAATATTCATTCTTTTTCCTAAACATGTCTTCCTTCTCGCTCCTTTTCAATCTCTTCCATCTCTCTGCCACTTTGCTCATTATACCATTATGTGCCCGTCTTTCCCCAACCTATCTTCCCGTCTTCCCCTCGATTGTGGCATCACATGGCCTGGCACAACCATGGTACAACATAGTGTGGCACGGCACACATGGCATGCTATCCCATGTTATGCCATGGCACGAAATGGCACGGCATGACATCCCATGGCATGGCATGGCATGAAATGGCACGGCATGACATCCCATGGCATGGCATGGCATGACATGGCATGGCACTGCATGGCGTGGTATCACGCGGATGGCGTGTCATGGCATGATAGCAGAACGAGGTGGAGGAGTCACTAGATGAATTCGAGGCTGCATTGGAGCTCGACCCCTCCCAAATCCCCTGTAAGCGACCGTCCTCTGAAAGGCGTGCTCACTTCGAAGCCGACTTACAATTCACTTACCTGGATTCATGGGCGTTTTGATGCTCGACCTCTTTCCAATCCCCTTACGTAGCTTCTGTAAAAGGCCGAGGCTTCACGAGCAAAATCATGCCAATTATTGACTTACTATACCATTCTCCTTTGAGACGCCTCAATTCTCGATCATGTAGCGGCTCGTTTGTGTGTGTACTGATACTGCCCGGCTTTCCTCTTTCCATCCCAACCACTGCCAAGCAGATCTATGGCAGAGAGGACTTTCGCTCTTCTACCTCAACAGGTCCGTCCTAATATAGAATACCTGTGACTGGCGTGTGCTGGCATGGGCCTACATACAATGGTTCATGCCATGCCGTCCTCTGCCAAGCAGACCTATGGCAGAAAGGACTTTCGCTTTTCTACCTCAATAGGTTTGTCTCGGTTGCCTGTGTATGGCTGGTGTGTGCTGTGCTGTCTGCACTGAATGTCACCTTTTGCTCGTTTATCCATTTGTCATGACACTGGATTTCCGACAAGACAAATTTCCCCTTTCCACGGTTTTCTCAAGAGACTAAGTTGTATGCCTTCTCAACGTTCCCATATTCTCCTGCCTTGGTGTGTCAGATTTGCAGAAGCTTCGCAGCAGTTTCGTGCCTGCATTGCAGCAAACTCAAGAGACGCTGAAGAGGTGAGAAGAACAGCTTCAGTAAATCTCCTCAGTTTCAGAAGCACCTATTGTTCCAAGCAACTGTTTGTCCCATGCAAATTCTCATGCCCAAGACCGTACCCATGCACATGCCAGTGCCCATGCCCTTCCCCTTACTTCCACCTTCGCACTCTCCCCCTTCCCTTCTTGCCAGTCCTTGCTGCTTTGATTTGCAAGATGTCTGGTGCTTTGTATTGTGGATTGTCTGGCGTTTTGTACTTCGAGTGGCTAATGCTTTTGTCAAACCTGTTCTCTTCTGTTGCCCTTCCCGCCAGTCCATCTGGTGCTTTGTCTCTGAGGCCAGGGCAAATGGTGTGGACTCAGCCCAAGAAAGCATGCCAGAGGTGGGTGTCCCACGTGTCTTTCATGATAAGTACACATATATCTATATATATAACTATATATATACATAGCTTTCAGTCGCCTCAAAGTCGTCTCTGTTTAAGAGGCCAGGGCGAATGGTGTGGACTCAGCCTGAGAAAGCATGCTAGAGGTGGGTATCTCACTTGATAGGAAATCGGTTTCTTCCAGGCGCCTCAAAAGTCGCAAAAGTGCCTCAAAAGTCGCAAAAGTGCTTCCAAAGTCGCTAAAGTGCCTCAAAAGTCGTAAAAGTGCCTCAACAGTCGTAAAAGTGCCTCAAAAGTCATCAAAGTGCCTCAAAAGTCGCAAAAGTGCCTCAAAAGTCATGAAAGTGCCTCAGAAGTCAACCAGGTGCAGAAAATCGCTAGAGGTGGCTTTTCCCCTCGTCTTTCTCTACTTTTCTCAACTGCTTATTTTCAGCCACTTCATTTGACTGGGCAAAATTATTTTCCCAGTCCTGTCTTCACACGCCTATGTTCTGGGACGTGTAAGGATTCAAGACGTCTTGAAACCCGTCTTGCTTTACTTGGGTGGGGACTCTCAGCTGCCTATCCCATCATCTCGCCACACACTCTTCCTGCTCCCCTTGCTCAGGTGCCTCGAGACCCAGGGAAGGTGCTACGAGCAGCGTATGACATGTTCAAAACGGGAGCTGACCCCTTGCAGGTAATCTCGTGCAGTGCAACTTATCCCTTGAGGCTGATCTCTCTGGTCCCTCCCTCTCGCACCCCTCCCACCTCCCCACCTCCCACTCGTGACTCACCTCGCTCCTGCTTCACCTTGCAGGTAATCTCGCGCAGTGCAGCTAATCCCTTGAGGCTGATCTCTCTGGTCCCTTCCTCTCGCACCCCTCCCACCTCCCCACCTCCACACTTCCCACTCATGTCTCACCTCGCACTTGCTTCTTCCTCCATTCCTCCGCACTCTAAGTGGTAGACGCTTACATGCCACGTTACAGTGTTCTCAATCCAGCGTTCACACACATATGGGGCGTGGCATGGCAAATGGAGTGCCATGGCGTGGTACTGGACATGACATGATGCGGATGGCATGGCATGGCATGGTATGGAACCAAATGGAACTGATGGCATGGCATGTGGAGACACAGGTGTTGGCAGCAGCAGGGGATGACGAGGGTGGGTCATCAGCCTTCTATGCTCGGTTATACGTCGGCCTCTTCTTTGAAATCATGGTACTGTTTTTTGAGGCGCCTCAGAAGGTGATTTTTTAGGCGCCTCGAAAGGTGATTTTTTAGGCGCCTCAAAAGGTGTTTTTTTAGGCGCCTCAAAACGTGATTTCTTAGGCGCCTCAAAAGGTGATATTTTAGGCGCCTCAAAAGTGATATTTTAGGCGCCTCAAAGGGTGATTTTTTAGGCGCCTCAAAAGGTGATTTTTTAGGCGCCTCAAAAGGTGATATTTTAGGCGCCTCAAAAGGTGATTTTTCAGGCGCCTCAAAAGGTGATTTTTTAGGCGCCTCAAAAGGTGATATTTTAGGCGCCTCACAGATAGCCTTCTATGCTCGGTTATGTGCTGGCCTCTTCTTTGAAATCATGGTACTGTTCATGTCATAAGGATGTTTCGAGTCTAACAATTATTGTAGGTCTAACAGTCATGACAGCTTGTGAACTTCGTTTGTATGTGCCCATTTGTGCATGTGCCCATGTGTGCATGTACCCATGTGTGCCTGTACCCACGTGTGCATGTTCCCATGTGTGCATGTACCCATGTGCGCATGTACATATGTGTGCAGGTACCCATGTGTGCATGTGCTTATGTGTGCATGTGCTTATGTGTGCATGTGCTTATGTATGCATGTGCTTATGTGTGCATGTGCCCGCGTATCCATGGGCTCATGCCCAGCATGTATTTGGCCTCTCCCTCACTCTACGACTCCCTCCCCCACACACACGCACTCACTCACTCTCGTACTCACTCTCAACTCTCTCCTTCTCCCACTGGCCCTTCAGGGGGATGAGGCCACAAGTCGGAAGTACATCCAATCAGCAGCTGCCACGGAATACGCCTGCAGGTAACCCATTTACCTTGGTTGCGAAACTCCACTCACCTGCCTTGCACTGCCGGTTGCGAAACCCCACTCACCCCATTCCACACAAACTGCCTGATGGCATGGCAGCAGTGGCATTGCCCTCTCAACTCATCAACCCAAAACTCACCTTGTTGCAATGGCGCATGACATGATGATACCGTTCCACTCCTTCCCTCAACAGTTCCCAAGCTGATCGTCTAACTACATGGCAGCAGTGGTGCCAGCGCATTGTTTGAGACGCCAGTCGCAAATCCTGCTTTTTCTTTTCCCTTGCTTGCACTGCTCTAGCGCCTTCGTGTAGATAGGTTGTTTTTGAGACGTCTCAAAAATAACCTATCTACACGTGGCTCCTTGCTTGCACTGCTCTAATGCCTTCGTTCCACCTTCGTCTGTTTCCCCCTCCTCCTCCTCGTTCAACCCATCCACGAGAGTCGCTTTTGAGGATTCTCAAAAGAGATTCAACCCGTCCAGCACGGGTTGTCTGACTACATGGCAGCAGTGACGCGAGTGCATTGTTGCAACAGCAGTGTCGAACATTGCTCTACCCTTCCTCCCTCTTTCACCTCTCCTCGTCCTTCTCTTCCCTCACCCTGTTCCATCACAGATCGTCAGGCTACATGGCAGCAGTGGCACGAGTGCATTGCTTGAGACGCCAGTGGGAAACTCTGCTTACCCTTCCAGCCTCCTTCCCCTTTCCCTGTCCTCTTCATTCACCCTGTTCCATCACAGATCGTCAGGCTACATGGCAGCAGTGGCACGAGTGCATTGCTTGAGAAGCCAGAGGTGGCAAACCCACCTCACCCTTGCACTGCTCGAGTGCCTTCTTCCCTCCTTCCCCTCTCTCTGTCCTCTTCATTCACCCTGTTCCTTGCAGATCATCAGACTACATGGCAGCAGTGGCACGAGTGCATTGCTTGAGAAGCCAGAGGTGGCAAACCCACCTCACCCTTGCACTGCTCGAGTGCCTTCTTCCCTCCTTCCCCTCTCTCTGTCCTCTTCATTCACCCTGTTCCTTGCAGATCATCAGACTACATGGCAGCAGTGGCACGAGTGCATTGCTTGAGACGCCAGTGGCCACTCCCTCCCTCCACTTTCGACGATTAATCTCTTCCAAGTCCCATCGGAGCTGCCTGCTCAACCTGCGAGTAGACTCATGCACCCGCTACCCTCTACCTCTACTCCAGTCGATCAGTGATTGTCGACTCTAAACATCTGTTTTACATGATTAAGTGCGTCCGAGCCGAGCCCGACTCTCAAGTCGTGTTCTTTCCACTCTAGGAAGCATCAAGCTTCCAAGAATCTGGGAAAGATGGCATATCAAGCAACGCACCAGACGAAGTTGAAACAACTATGACTGCATTGCATTACTGGTTCATCTATATGCACACATGATTGGGACAGTCAACAACAGTCCCTTGTATAATCTCACGTTACACTCAAGAGAAGCAAAACGTATAACGCGGTGTTTTGTCCGCACTCGCACATTGAACAAAACTGCGTCAAGCCAAGCTCTGCTCCTGCGCTAAGTACTTATGTTGGCTGGTCCAGCTCATTACTTTGGTAGCCTGTTGTGACTCACGAGCCTTACAGTGAGCCTCTCACTTCAGTGAGTCAATAAGCCTTATGAATAATCTATCCAAAGTAGTCAGGCTCATTCCCGGGCGCCCACTTTATGTTGCAGCCGATGCTGCACAAAGACGATGAAGGATAGTCAGGGAAACAAAAGATGGTATTGCAGAACAATCAAGCAGGGTTTTTGCAATCGAGTCAGCCAAAGAAGGGTAACCACGAACAACCACATGGGAATTTAGATTAGACCCCCATCTAGTAAATAATGCCTTACCTGGGCTTCTAAGCGCTGGGGACAGGTCACGCAGAGAGCACACAGTCGAGAGCACGTGTTTTGAGCCTGTGTTTTGAGGCGCCTCAGAATAATCAAGTTTTGAGACGTTTCGAAACTATGACCAATGGGACGACTCCGACCGGTAGGCAAGCAGTGAAACCCACCTGGGCCTCTGACCGCTGGGGACCGGCTTTCCAGAAAGCACGTCCAACCCAGAGCCTTGCAGGGATCCTAGCTGGTAACCGGGTAACCGTTGGGGTTCTAGACCCTAGTCCGTATTGCCATCGAGAACCTCACCTCGGCTTTTGATCGCTGGCGACTGGCCTGCCTCCTTGGGGGCAGGCATCACCTTTGGGGGACTGGCGTGCCTGTGACTGGGTAAAGGCAACCTTACCTGGGCTTCTGACCGCTGGGGACCGGTCGAGCGGACAGCACGCAGTCTAGGGCAGCACGCAAGTCCTTCCCGGTGACCTGGCGGCCGTTGGAGGGGCGGGAGTCGTCCAGCTGGCAGTGGTATGCCAGCTCAGATGGGGGTCCTTGCTGGTGAGCAGAGAACGACCCCAAAGTCAAGGCTTTGAGTGGGTAAAGGCAAGCTCACCTGGGCCTTTGAGCACTGGAAACGGGTCTTGCCGACAGCACACAGTCAAGAGCAGCACGCAGGTCCTTGGTGGTGAGCAGAGAACGACCACAAAGTTAAAGGTGGGTAAAGGTAAGCTCAGCTGGGCCTTTGAGCACTGGAAACGGGTCTTGCCGACAGCACACAATTTACAGCAGCACGCAGGTCCTTGCTGGTGACAGGGCGGCCGTTGGAGGGGTGATGAGTGGGCTCTTAGACCCCTACCTACCTTGCTACCGGACAGCTTACCTGGGCCTCTGGGCACTGGAAACGGGTCTTGCCGACAGCACACAATTTACAGCAGCACGCAGGTCCTTGGTGGTGAGCAGAGAACGATCCCAAACGTAAAGGTGGGTAAAGGTAAGCTCACCTGGGCATTTGAGCACTGGGGACCGGTCGTGCAGCGAGCACACAATCCAGTGCAGCACGCAAGTCTTTCCTGGTGACTGGGCGGCCATTAGAGGGGAGCAAGTCGTACAGGTGGCCGTGGTATGCCCTTGGGTTTGCATTGCCATCAAGAAGCTCACCTGGGCCTTTGCGCACTGGGGACCGGTCGTGCAGAGAGCACGCAGTCGAGAGCAGCACGCAGGTCCTTGCCGGTGACCGGGCGGCCGTTGTTGGGGCGGGAGTCGTCGAGCTGGCCGTGGTATGCGAGCTCGAAGGGGCGGCGGCCGTCCTTTTTGAAGAGAAAGAAGTCTGGCGTGCAGGCAGCGTGATAGGTCTTGGCCACCTCCTGAGTCTGGTGGAAGGGTAGGAGAGAGGGGAGAACGGCCGTCCTTCTTGAAGAGAAAGAAGTCCGGCGTGCAGGCAGCATGGTAGGCCTTGGCCACCTCTTGCGTCTGATAGATGGGCAAGAGATACGGGGGGAGGGGAGGTGGGGAGGGCATGGGGCATAGAGGGCTATGAGGTGTGCCCGTGGTATGCCAGCTCAAACGGGCGGCGGCCGTCCTTTCTGAAGAGAAAGACTTTGGGCGTGCAGGCAGCATGATACGCCTTGGCCACTTCTTGAGTCTGCAGGGTGGGGTTTTGCAGGGGAAAGGAGGTCGGGTGATCGGGAAGGACAACCATCCTTTTTGAAAGAGGAACAAGTCTGGAGTGCAGGCAGCATGGTAAGCCTTGGCCACCTCTTGAGTCTGATAGATGGGGGAGAGTGGGATTGGAAAGGTTGATTGGTAAGGGAAAGGTAAAGGTAAGAAAACCTTGTCGAGCTGGCCGTGATATGCAAGCTCGAACGGGCGGTGGCTGTCCTTGTTGAAGTGAAAGAAGTCTGGCGTGCAGGCAGCGTGATGGCGCGGCAGGGGCAAGACACATGAGGTTTAGGGCGGGGGAAGATGAGTGGGTTAAAGGCCATGGGACTCACATTATTATAGAGGTAGGGGACGGGGAAGCTGAGCTGCCTGAATTAAGCGGATTCGCAGCACAGCAGGACAAGCAACAGATCGCCGGTATGGGGCTTACCTTTCGTGCAGTACAGTACCTTTCTAAAGTTTTTTTTGAGGCGCCTCAAAAGTCTTTCTTGCAGTACAGTACCTTTCTAAACTTTTTTTTGAGGCGCCTCAAAAGTCTTTCTTGCAGTACAGTACCTTTCTGAAGTTTTTTTTGAGGCGCCTCAAAAGTCTTTCTTGCAGTACAGTACCTTTCTAAAGTTTTTTTTGAGGCGCCTCAAAAGTCTTTCTTGCAGTACAGTACCTTTCTAAAGTTTCTTTTGAGGCGCCTCAAAAGTCTTTCTTGCAGTACAGTACCTTTCTGAAGTTCCCAAAAAGGGAAGCGTGAAACCCACCCCATCATAGAGGTAGGGGAACGGGAAGCTGAAGTGCTTGGTGGTCACAGAAGACTCAGGTTCAACTGCCACTTAGTGAGATGAACTGACGGGGCACGGGAAGCTAAAGTGCTTGGTGGTCACAGAAGACTCAGGTTCAGCTGCCACTTAGTGAGATGAACTGTCGGGGCACGGGAACCTGAAGTGCTTGGTGGTCACAGAAGACTCAGGTTCAGCTGCCACTTAGTGAGATGAACTGTCGGGGCACGGGAAGCTGAAGTGCTTGGTGGTCACAGAAGACTCAGGTTCAACTGCCACTTAGTGAGATGAACTGTAGGGGAACGGGAAGCTGAACTGCTAGATTCTAAAAAACACTCAGGTTAAACAGCCACTTTGTGAGATGAACTGTCAGATGAAGGGTGGGTGAGACGCACCTCGTCATAGAGGTAGGGAAAGGGGAAGTTGAACTGCTTGGCTTCCTCAGCCATTTTATCGGGTCCGTCCTGATGCGGGGTAGAGGGAGGAGAGGGGTGCAGCAGAGGGGACGTGGAGCCAGGAGGAAAGAGGAAATTGAAAAGCAGAAGGGGAAGTTGAACTGCTTGGCTTCCTCTGCCATTCTGTCAGGTCCGTCCTGTTGTTGAGTAGAATGCGTAGAGGGGAGATTGAGGAGCATAAGAACGCAAGTTGAGAGACAAAGAGTGGTGACCTGGTTCACGGTCATTCGAGGAACGACTGACACGTCATCTCGAGGCTATTGTGAAGCATGGTGCGTCATAGCATTCTGTATTCACGACCATCACAACTTTCGGTAGGTTGCACGGCTTACCTGAGGGTGGGTGAGCACCGAGTTGGACGAGATTGCAACCACTGCTAGCCCATGCTGCATGGAAGATGTATGGGGAGCAACAAGAGAAAGGGCGGGAAGCAAGCAAGGGGAAGGAGCAGCCGAGTGGGTGTGGGGGCCGAGTGGGACGAGTTGGCATGGCAACCACTCCTAGCCCATGCTGAAGAGAATTGGAGGCGAGAGGACGTGTGGAAGAGTAACTCGGACATGTAACTTGGAGATGTAACTTGAAGATGTAGCTCAAAAGTGTACCTTGGAAATGTACTCGTTGCCAAGAGCAACAAGTTGCGACTTGATATGAACCACGAACGGGCAATGGTTGCAGATGAACATGACCTGACAGTGTCCGGTTTGAGAAGGTGGGGAAGGGGTAAAGAGGGGTGGAAGACGGTGGAGGGGGGAGGGGGAAGTGGAATAGGAAGGAAATGAGTCTGTATGAACCACAAAAGGGCATTGATTCCGGAGGAGATGACTTGGGAGGCGCGGTGTTCACAAGGAGGAGGAATTGGACTGAGAGGGGAGAAGGTGTGCTCATTAACCATAGCTACCCAAAAGAAGGATCTTGAGAATTTTCAAAAGGGGCTCACTGAACCATTGCTACTCAAAAGGAGGTGGCATTACGAGGAGGGCCGGGTGGCCGTCAAAGTCGGAGGAGGGAGAGGGGTGGGAGAGAGGGTTGGGAGAGAGAAGGAGGGGAAGAGAAGGAGGCGGGGAGAAATGGGAAGGAGGAAAGGAGGACTTACGAGGAGAGCCGGGTGGCCGTCAAAGTCGGAGAGAGACCATGTCTTGCCGGTCAGCGGCTCCACTAGCTGGTACATTATGCACATAGGTATTGTCACATCGCGTGTACAGTCACACGGGGATACAATCACACACGCATGTAAAGTCGGAGAGTGCACGCGCGCGTCAGCAATCGGGGCATGTCTCTCGCATGCCTTGCTGCCTCCTGTGCATAGGACCATAAAATAATAGCTGCAGGATTCAGCTGCATCGCTCGACATTCGATACAAACTGCATCTGCAAATTTCTATATGAGTTACTAAATCGTTAGTGTGTGTACTTGAAGAAGAGCAATCTATTCGTCCTAGCTGGTAACTTACCGTGAAATCCGGCGCTCGGGTGCCTAAAGCGAGAGGCTGCGACTCGGTGAGCACCATTCTCACCCCCAACGCGCCGCCACTCCCCGCGGTGCGCGAGCCTGCTCCGGCTGTAGCGCAGCTACCGGCTGTCGCGCGCTGCGACGCGAGCAGAGCGCGCGAACCGGGTAACCCGAAAACACGCGACGCTGCGAATCCGACTGTAGCGCTAAATCCGGCGGCTGCAGCGGGAGCGCGATTTGCGGGAACCTTTACGACGAGAGAGGCCGTAGGGGAAACGACTTGGCGGGAAACGCGAGGAGCGTGATATGTGGCAGCGCGTCGGATGGGGACGTGGTGGTGAGGGGCCGCGGAGATGTGGCGCGGAAACGCAAGCACCATTCTCGGCGCCGCGAGGCCGTGATTCGCGGAGAAATTCGTAAGCTTTGCGTGTTGCTGATTTCAAGTCTGTCGCACTGTCAGTCAGTTATCTTGCCTGTCGTCAACCGAAGATTCGTGAATCCCGATGGCCACGAAAGAAGAACGACTGGCATGCGAAAGGGGCCGATGAATCGAACCTTGAGAATGTTCTGGGTGCGATTTCCTTGTGGTTTTTGGAAAACACGCGTTTTGACAACTATGTCGGCTTCGTTATACCGAACAATCTGAATGACCAACAAACTGTACATGATTCAGTATGATTCAGCCTACACTGTACATACTGGCAGCGCATGGATTCTCTTCATTGAGTGAAAATATAGAACGGAAAATTACTCTAGTTACATCATCACGCTTATTAAAACTGATGTCGGCATCATCTTGGCCTTATTTTCATTGTTGTGCACAAGTTGCCAACAGGAGTGCTATACAATAGACGGTAAACTGAGGTGCAGGGAAAATCCAAAGCCATGCTAGCATGCACACACAAACAGAGAGACACACACACACTCCAGTTACGCCAGCACTATCTTCTTTGAATGATGGCTGCAAGTGGTTAGATACCGTATGTGTGTTGTGTGCAGCTTCTTGACATGCAGCATTAGGTTAATGCGGGCTCATGGGATGCATGGATATCTTGAGCATGCGCTCAGCTGCTGGTGTTGCCAGAGCAGAAAGCTATACAATGAAACGCTCTGACCAACAGCTTGATGGGGACGTCACGTGAAAGCACTTGAAATGATGCTGTCGTCAAAACTATCAACGAATCATGACACGGATATTGGCAAAATGGCATGCCGTCTATTTTTGCCACACACATCCGAATCCTATTCATATATCAAATCAGAGGAAACACGCCTGAAGCCGAGTGGCTGACTAGCGTGGCCCAAGTTAGGAGTTCTTTTCCTACGTGTGAAACCACCTAATTGCGGGGAGATCGAAGACTCCCCGCGACGTCTGCCTTAGGGTTATCATTTGTTTCAATTCTAACTGCCAGGCGCCTTGGCCTTGTTCTTCTCCTCCCACTGCTTGCGGTGGCCGGGAGGAAGCACAGTTGCGCCAGTGCCCTTGCGGATCTGTCCGCGCACGGCGCCCGCGGGGAACGCCGGGGTCGACACAACCACGTAGAATTTCTCGGGGTTCACCATCACTTTCGCGAACGCCGTCGAAAGCGCTTCGCCAGACGCCGTTTTCATGTTGGCGACGTCTTCCCACACGCCGGTCGTCGCATAGCTGAGATAATTCTCCGTCGACGCAGCGCCGCTCTTCGAGCTAATGCCCGTGGTGTTCACCCATTCCGCTCCCGCGAAGCTGATCACCGCCGGCCCCGTCGCATCGCTGGCGGCCATGTTGATCGTCGCGCCGGTGGGCAGACCCGCGACAGACAGCTTCCGCACGGAGACGATATACTTGATGTTCACCACTTTGCCGTTCTTATACACCGTCATGATCGCGTTGCCCGCCGCGTTCGCGTCGCCGGGCGCAGCGCCCACGACAGACGATCCGCGGAGAACGGTTCCCACCTGCATCACCTCGCGCCCCAGCGGCTTCCCCTTGTGCTGTGCTCCCCCGGGGACCGGCGCGGGGTGCGTCTTGGGCGCTCCTGCGCCGCCTGCTGCGCCCTGCTTGGGCGTTCCAGGGCCCTGCTGCTTTCCGCCGGCGGGAGCGACCTTACCGCCGGGGGCCTTCCCCTTGGGGGTGGGCGCGGTCGTCGTGGGCACTACGGGGCTGCTCGCTTTCGCGTTCGGCGCGACGGCGATGCTCGCGAGCTTGGGAGTTCCGGGGAGGGGGGTGGTTTCCACTGTCTGCGGCTCCACTGCCGGGACTGCGGGGTCCGCTTCTTGTAGTTTTCGGGCGTCTGCCGCTAGGCCTGAAGGACAGAAAAAGGGTGGAGGAGGAATAAGAGTCATACGGGAGCTACATGGAATACCACACACTTAATCGGTGTTTCAATGAGGCGAGAGAACAACTTGAAAGTAGGAATGTTGGGAGAGAAGTCCTTACATGACAAGGCGAGAATCGCCAAGAGCACGGAGAGGAAGCGAGTTGTCGACATTGCGTCAAGTGGTCGAGAGGGAGAATGGAACGCTCGTAACTGGAAAACTTCGAGCCAGCAGGTTGTAGGGTTGTGTGGAGTTGTAGAGATGTAGAGAATGAAGCTACGATGTGGATTGAAGTTGTCGGAAGCTGAATGATTGGTGAGTGAGAATGATGAGCAAGTCTAGGGTTTTGTAGTTGTGTGTCAACCCGTGTCGCAACGTTGGGGAGGGAAAAGTCTGGAGCCAAACCGCGACATTGGAAGGTCGAGAAATGCGGCTCGACAGAGTCCATGCAAAAGCAAATTCACCGATCTACGGAAGAGAGAGCGGGTAACTGGGGTCGGTGTTCTGGCCTCCCGGCCCGGGCAGATATTTGTGCGCGAAGTTTTTCGTCACCGACTGAGAGCAAGAGTGGGCAAGGTGACTGGTATCCCGTTTGACGTATTTCTTCGCACCGTCCATTTTGCTGCTGAGCGGTCTGTGACGAAATCGTCGGCGAACGCAGATCCGTCGGTATTATCGAGTAACTTGAGCGGCTACACCTTCGTCCAGCTCTACGGGGGAACGTTTGATTGAACCTCCCTCCCACGGGTTTGTTCTGGAACAGTTTCCGTTGGCTGAAAAACGTTGGCCGGAGGATTTGACTGCTATGGACCCGTTGGAGGGTCTGATGACAAGATTTCCGTCTATCTCCCCTGCCCTGCGTCAAACTTGGAGCGAGCAGGAGCACCGAGAGTTTCCGTCAGCTTCTGACAACTTTGGAAGGGGGAAATTCCTCAAGTGTTTTACACCACAGCGAAAATTCCTCATATTTCGAAAATTGACCGCTCAATCACCGAATCCCGCTACACTCTCAACGAACCGCATTTCCGAAAATTCAAATGTCGCGGTGCGTGAAAAATGACTTCCCATCCCAACCCAAACTTTCACATGCCACGACATTAAAACATTCGCAGAGATTCCCATAAAAGCGTCCACCTTCTCACCTTTTCCCAACAGTTCACTCGTTCCTCTCTCCAATTCCAGGCCTTCAACACTCAATCGAAATTCCACGAACAAGGTCTCCGAATCAGAGTACAATCAAGTAGTCGAGCACTAGTATTCGCAAACCACTTACCGAACCAATGTCGACCACTCGCTTCCTGACAGCGCTTCTGGCGATTTTCGCCATCTCATGTAAGTCTTCACTACCTGTAAACATCCGAAGTCCTGGCGCATTTCTGCCTCGTTCACTTCACAAAATCCAACTACTCTGTCAATACTTTCAGCAGTATCCTCCTCCAGATTCGACAAGTATTCCCTTCCCTCAAATCTAATCTAACGCTGCTCCCCTTCCCTTCCTCCATTTTTCAGGCCTAGCAGTAGACGCTCGAAAGCTCCAAGAAGCGACCCCCGCCGTGCCCGCGGTGGAGCCGCAGACGGTGGAAGACACCCCCCTCCCCGGAACTGCCGCGCGCACCGCGAAGATCGCCAGCATCGCCGCCGCGCCGAACGCGAAAGCCACCAGCCCCGTAGTGACGACCGCGCCCACCCCCAAGGGAAAGACCCCCGGCGGAACGCAGAAGGGCCCTGGCGCGCCCAAGCAGAGCACAGCAGGCGGCGCAGGCGCACTCCGCGGACCGCCCAAGGCGCACCCCGCGCCGGTCCCCGGGGGGGCGGAGCACAAGGGGAAGCCGCTGGGGCGCGAGGTGATGCAGGTGGGCACCGTTCTCCGCGGGTCGTCCGTCGTTGGCGCCGCACCCGGCGACGCGAACGCGGCGGGCAACGCGATCATGACGGTGTATAAGAACGGCAAAGTGGTGAACATCAAGTATATCGTCTCCGTGCGGAAGCTGTCTGTCGCGGGTCTGCCCACCGGCGCGACGATCAACATGGCCGCCAGCGATGCGACGGGGCCGGCGGTGATCAGCTTCGCGGGAGCGAAATGGGTGAACACCACGGGCATTAGCTCGAAGAGCGGCGCTGCGTCGCCGGAGAATTATCTCAGCTATGCGACGACCGGCGTGTGGGAAGACGTCGCCAACATGAAAACGGCGTCTGGCGAAGCGCTTTCGACGGCGTTCGCGAAAGTGATGGTGAACCCCGAGAAATTCTACGTGGTTGTGTCGACCCCGGCGTTCCCCGCGGGCGCCGTGCGCGGACAGATCCGCAAGGGCACTGGCGCAACTGTGCTTCCTCCCGGCCACCGCAAGCAGTGGGAGGAGAAGAACAAGGCCAAGGTGCCTGGTAGTTAGAATTGACACACAAGCGGACAGTGCATTAGTAGGGATTCGTTTTTGGCTAATGTAGCTGGCATGCCATTTTGCCGAAGCTATAACATGTTGAGTGTAGTTTGTTCTAGTTGCAGTTAATTGAGATGGATTCTTCAATTCTAAACTTACACATGAAACTAATATTGTTTCTTTAGTCGGTACCTACAGAACAGAAAACTAGAACTCTAAACCCTAAAAACTCTACAACAGCCAAGGCAAAACGTACGGTAGCTGTTATACCTGTGCAGCCACATACCATTCTAATGCATTCTGCTCGAACCGTATCGCCTCTTTTGTAACTTGTTGCCCGCGGAAATCATGGTATAGTACAGTACGCCACACGCAACCAGTATGTCATACATCACCCCATCCTCCTCCCCTCCCCCCCGAAAACCAACACCAATAACACGGGTGACTCGAATCGTGTTATACGGAGGGTTAAACGCGGGGTTTATTGGGGGTTGAAGGCGCAGGCCTGCTCGAAGATGAGCTGGCGGATGCGGGGGATGTCATACTCCTCCTGCTCGAAGCTCAGGTCGTACTGGAAGGGGTTTGGGTGTGGCGGGTCCTGGTTGGCCTTGTGGTAGTGCGCCAGGTACGGGTGCGCCAATGCCTCGTCCACTGTAGGGAGGAGAGATACAGGCAAACAGGGGGAAGTTGAGGGGGTTGGGGGTTGTGAGGAAGGTCCTGGTTGGCCTTGTGGTAGTGCGCCAGGTTTGAGTGGGCCAATGCCTCGTCAACTGCGGTTGGGGAACAGGCAGGGGGAAGATAGGGGATGACGCAGGGAGGTGAGGGAATGTGGCGGGTGCTGGTTGGCCATGTGTTAGTGAGCTGCTCCCTGTGGTAGTGAGCTGCTCCCTGTGGTAGTGAGCTGCTCCCTGTGGTAGTGAGCTGCTCCCTGTGGTAGTGAGCTGCTCCCTGTGGTAGTGAGCTGCTCCCTGTGGTAGTGAGCTGCTCCCTGTGGTAGTGAGCTGCTCCCTGTGGTAGTGAGCCGCCCCCTGTGGTAGTGAGCCGCCCCCTGTGGTAGTGAGCCAGGTACGGGTGGGTCAATGCCTCGTCCACTGTGGTTGGGAAGGACGCATGAGCAAACGGGGGTGACGGGGAGCCCAGGTAACTCGGAGTGAAGACTGAGGAGGAGGGGAGCGAGCAAAGGCATGGGCAAACAGGGGAAAATGGAAGGCTCAGGTCACTCCGAGTGAACATTGGGGAATTGAAGAGCGAGGGGGGAGCTGGTTGGCCGTGTGGTAGTGCACCTATGGTTGTGCCAGTGTCTCGTCCAATGCAGTAGAAAGTGTGTGGACAGTGGAAGAGAAGGGAGAGAAGGGGAAAGGCGGAGCAGTAGTAGCAGCTCGTCAGGTGAGCCGTGGACGGGAACTGTGCTTCTCCATTGAAATGACTTTTGAGTCGACTCAAAAGTGAACTGTGCTTCTCCATTGAAATACTCCCAATTTTTGGCGGCACGGGGATTATTGGGGGTTGACGGACGGTGCGGGCCTGTAAGAAGATGAGCTGGCGGACGCATGGGAGAGGCGGGATGCTTGGAATAAGATTGGGAAAACATTCTGCGGCGATGAGAGTCCTGGTTGGGTTTGTGTGGTAGAGTGCGCAAGATGATTGTTGACTTCAATCAATCAACATGTGGAGGGGCGTTTTTACATTGAAAGAAGGCCTCCTGTGTGATTGCATTCTTTTTTCCAGTCGATCAAGAGCCTCTGGATTCCAATCACTCTGTTTATAGAAACGCACGCACCTGTGATTCTCTTTCTCGGGTCGAAGACCAGCATGCGCTGCACCAGGTCAGCCGCGGGTTCCGACAGCTTGGGGAACACGTCCCTGATGTTCCGCGCGGGGAAGCCCTGCAGCTCTGAGAGCAGGAAGGTGCGGGCGGCATCGTTGACTATGAAGGAGGCGTCTTCGGCCGAGGGGGATCCAATCAGCTGGTGGAAGGATAAGGGACAGGTGCGGAGGGAGAACAGAGGAAGGGGGAATGAAGAACACAAAGGGGCAAGGGAGGGGAATCTCTGCAGCTCTGAGAGCAGGAAGGTGTGGGCAGCATCGTTGACCATGGAAGAGGCGCCTTCAGCGGAGGGGGATCCGATGAGCTGGTGTGGAGACAAGTGTGGGGAGTTGGGGAAAGGAAGAGCAAGAGATGAGACTGGAGAGAAAGGCCTGTAGCTCAGGGAACAGAAAGAACGCCCCGAGCTCTGAAAGCTTGGGAAACACGTCCCTGATGTTCCTCGCAGGGAAGCCCTGCAGCTCTGAGAGCAGGAAGGTGCGCGCGACATCGTTGACTATGAAGGAGGCGTCCTCTGCAGAGGGGTACCCGATCAACTGGTGAGTTGGAGCGGGAGGGGGAGAGGTGATGCACAAAAAGAGGAAATGCCTTGCGATCAATCCCCTACTCTCACTACTACCCTCACCCTTCTGCTCTCCCTCCCCCCCCTTCCCCTTTGCTATGGATGCACCTCGCAGGTCGTGCGGAGCTGGTCCACATAGTTATCCCCTTTGAGCACAATGTGCCCCAGCACCAACTCCAGGTAGATTAGTGCTACCAGCAGCCCCTGCTCTCCCTCCCCTGCTCTCCCTCCCCTGCTCTCCCTCCCCTGCTCTCCCTCCCCTGCTCTCCCTCCCCTGCTCTCCCTCCCCTGCTCTCCCTCCGCTACTGTCCCTCCCCTGCTCTCCCTCCCCTGCTCTCCCTCCGCTACTGTCCCTCCCCTGCTCTCCCTCCCCTGCTCTCCCTCCGCTACTGTCCCTCCCCTGCTCTC